TTTGTAAAACTCTAGTATAATATGACAACCAGGATATATCAACATTGATACAACCTATTGAACTTATTCAGAATTCCCCAGTTATACTTGTACTTGTGTGTGTGTGTGTGTGTGTGTGTGTGTGTGTATGTGATTTAATACTATACAACTTTATCACATGTGTTGGTTTGTGCATCTACCACCACAGCCTTTCAATTATTTTGAAAAGTGCAGGGCATGCTAGAGTTAGAAAGGACTAAAAGTCTCTGTCCATGCTCCCCACTGAATATGGTGACGTAGTATTAAGTAATTAGAACTGGCATATCCCCTGTAAACATTTACTTTTTCATTAACCTCCTTTCCCATATTGTAAATCTGTTTGAGTGCAAGAATCACTTCATGTTTTGTGTATACCTTTAGCCACACCACAGGCTTTTGTTAACCTCAGTGCTCTGTGCAGAGATGTCCAATTCATGTTCAAAAATACAAATACATGGTGTTAAATAGAATTAAATAGGAGGAATGTTTTAGGTGTTTTCTCTGCTTTTAAATTGAGACTAGTATTTTTCAAAGTTTATATCTGTATAGTATTTACTTTCAAATAGTATGTTATACTACATGAAAGTATGTTATAGATGTTTGATCTTTTGAAGGTGGTATTGCTGCCTTTGATAAAAAGTAATTAGGTGAGTATTTCCAGGTAGAGGTAATCTTCAAAACTTGAAAATACATATTTCCTTTCAACTATTACATTTGTAGGTATTCTTCCCTGCCCTCCATTCCTTTCTTTTTGTCTCTCTTTCTTTGAAAACAACCCATGTGAATGACAGCTTTTCTGAACTTACTTATGTTAGAGCCTGCATTAGGGGAAAAAAAAAATCCAACTCTTCTCTCATGGACCGTGACAGTAGGTATGTTCCTACAGTCATGGGTTTTATGTGGTGTATAATATGCTCTCTGGGAGAAAAATGCCAGCAATCATTCACAAATTCTTTGGAGAATAAATACAAATAAAATGTCTATATTTTCATATAATCAGGGATGCTGTTAGGAAGATAAAAATTATATATTCTTTTCTTTCCTCTCCACATGGGATTTGAAATTAATGTTTTCTGCCTATCTTGTGAAATTTTTTAAGTCTTGAAAATTGTTTGGCTGTTTGTACTAGAAAAGTTGAAAAGAGAATGCCTGGTGAGGGTTTGGTGGCATCTACCCAAGTGCTGTATGGGGCAGCTTGACTTCATAGGGACAATGGGAATTTTAGAAATGGCTTCCAGTATTGGAGTGGTCCATCTTCTACCTTCTGCATCCCAAAGGAGGACCCTGAGTAGGTGTGGTATTCAAGGGAATTAAAATACACAGCCTCTAAGGAAAAGATAGTAAGGGTACCTACCATTGAATTTAGTTGATTTGTTTATTCATTCATTCATTCATTCATTCATTCATTCATTCATCTGTCAAATATTCATGGAGTTCTCACAGAATGTTGGGGCATGTACATTAAAAATATTCTATAACAATAACTTCCTTCAAAGATTCATGTGGTTTATTGTGTATCCCTACCATGAGCCATTTAAACTGTAAAGAGCTTCAATATTTAATTGAGTTAAATTATGTTAAATTTGCCTGTCACTCCTCACACCACACCCCTTTTCCCAAATCCTCAGAATATGGGACTTAGCCTGGCCTGTAAATCAAGATGGGGAACTGATAATAACATTGACCTTCCTGAGAGAGAAATATGCCATCCTCTCTTCCCTTTCCCTGAAGGCAGAGGCTGCTGACCTCTGTGACTCTCTCTGCAAAGTAGGGGTGATGATAATTCTGCCTCATCTGGTTGAGGGAGTTTGTGTGCTGGGCTCTGGAGACTGTGGACTTTCACCAAGGCCATTCCTGCCTTCTTGGAGGCCACACACACATGGATAGAAGCATGCGTTGCCTACCAACTAGCCTGTGGTAAGGGTGGGCACAGCACCCTAGAGAGCCATGGGAGCTGGGAAGCTTTGGCCCAGGTCTGGATGAGCTTGGACCCTGATGGCATTGCTGGTGTGGACTCAGCGTGCACCCACACCAGGCCTGCAGCTGGGTGATGAGGCTCACTGCAATTTATTGTTCAAACGGGGCCACTTTAAAATTATTGTGGCAAAATATCAACCAGGGACACTTTGGTCAGTATAGGTGGTGCCATTAATAATGATGGAGGGGCAGCCAGTGGTTACTGTACATGATACCTTTGTCTGTTTTAGTTGCGTGTCTTGGTTTCCGATCTCTTTTTTTTTTTTTTTTTGCTGGGTACTTTTAGAACTTGTTGGATGCATGTGGCTTGGGACAGCATAGTTGAGGCTGAGTGGGTTCCTGGCCCAGAAAAGCCCTGGTGTAAATGCTATGATACAAAGCCCTACACATGGCTCCCATCAAAGATTTTAGACAAAGGGACCATGTGACATTATGTTTTAACATATGTTAAATGTTTGAACACATGTGTTTGTGTATTCACACCATTTATATGCAATGTAAGTATGATTATTATAATTTTTTACATATGAGGCTATTGAGGCACAGAGAGATTAATTTCTGTAGCTAGGGCCCCCCAACCAGACAGCAGCACAGATGATTCCCACCCTAGCTTTTGGATATCGCTTTAAAAATCTGTTTACTGAGCATGATATTTATTTGATAATTTGGATTATCAAAATGGGATAAGTTTGGTGATCAAGGGATGTGGCTTTTTTAAGACGCTGTTGTATTAGTTCTTGAAATTTAGAGAAGAGTTTTTAAAAACTGGCTTGAAGCTCAAAAAGAAATTGGAGAGAGGTATAAAACGTAGTGTTGTGTAGTAGGTACTAACAGAACCTTTTCCAATGCTTTTGGATGTTGCGGGAGGATGGTAGCAAGGGGGAGGAAGTTGCTTTTGAAGCGATTCTATAGAGTGAGTTTCTTGACTCTCCCTCTGCGTTGTGTGGGGCAGGCAGAGGGGGTCTGTTAACTTCTCAGCAATGCTCAAAACAATGGTGGCAGCAGTGAAAACATAGTCACTGAGCACAGCCAGGTGATCACATTTCTTGACCTTCTCCTGCGTTTGCCTAGCATGTAGAGATGAAGTGGTCAGCCTCTGTGTTTAGACTCTTCGCTCTTTAGAAGAAGAGAGAAGACTATGTCCAAGACCAGGAGGATGTTCCAAGGAGACGATGGTAAATTCCAAAAGGGATTTTAGTGTTTCAGAAGTTATGGGAATGGAGGAGATGAGGAAGGGCTGGGGAGAAATCCAACAGGAAGAGTAGAAGGAAACCATGGGAAGAGTTGATTTTGGTCTTTACACCAAGTTAATTTTGTTATTTTACCCCCCTTTTTTTTCACTTTGCTGGACCTCATGTCTTTTCCCACCCCTCATGATACAATATCATGGAGAAGCAGATAACCAGAAAATAGTAACATTGTCAAGGAAACAAGTTCTGGACTCTCTTCTGTGGTCATTACCCATCAGACAAAACTTTAGCTGGTTTTGCCAACTAGCTAAAGCCATAGCACCCTGATTCCTGTTCATGGTGAAGACACACTCAGAGTCATTAGGAGAAAGCCACGCTTCTCTTTCAGAGGGTAGAGATTTAAGATAGGTAATATGTCTGAGGTAATTTTATATTCAAAAGAATTGAGGATGCAAAAGTCTTGGAAAAACTCCAGTGTTAGAATATTTATGTGCTGGGAAAGGATGGTTATTCTTCCTTCCTAACTTACTTAGTTCCAAAGAGCCCAGTGAAACAGGTATTATATTGCATTTTCTGTGCACATCTTTCCTGGTTTAGGCTTGCATGTGCAGTGTTTCATTTTTCTGTTTAAATAATTTGTTCCCTTTTACTTGAAATAAAACCCAGGAGGATATTATATGGTACTGTGTATGTAAATTTCATTAGTCTCACTTTAAAAGAAAATTCTTCTTTGTTTACTGTTCTACTGTAATCCCATCAACTATTGTTAAATATGCTCCATCTAAGATTTACTCCTGATCTGTTTTGTACATTTATTGTTTGTTGCCTTTGGCCAACATTAAATACATTTGGGCGATACTTTCATATTTATTATATTATATTATATTATTATATTATATTATATTATTTTGTGTTAGTAGAAAATATTACATGTTACTACTGAACAGGAACATTTGCATAACCTTATTTCTTGAATGTTTAGGTAAAACAACTCTTAAAGTTGTAAATGCTTTTTCTTTTTAGAACAGATTTTAGATGTGTCACCAGACCATTGGGGTCCCATGCCTGCACTCCATCAATACCTCATTCACACACCCAACACAACCAGTCTTCCCGTTCTTCCAGACGTACTCATTTGCTTAGGCTAAAAACTGCAGCTGATGCTCATAATCATTTCAGACTTTTCAACTTGTCTGGGACATCATACTGATTGACATCCTTCATTATTCCTTATGAGAAAGAAGCAAATGACCTAACCACAAAGTGGAAAATTTGAAGAAAGCATAAGGAATTGGGGCTGACTATAGTACACTTTGATGATAAAGACAAAAATGGCCAATTTAATGACTGGGGTGATCAAAAGCACACTCTTTCCATGTGTAATCAGATGCTTAGTAAACATTTTCTCATAGGAAAAATATAACATGACTATTCTAGTCAACTGTGAGTAAGAAGGCTATAAATTATGTCATTCTACAATCGTGCTTTGTTTTGTTTATATAGCTCACTTACATAGGTTTGTCACTTGTTTGTCATAGGTTGTCTTTCTTTTCAGTCTCATTGAACTTGAGGTTCAGGAGTTGTACATGTTTTATAATGATGTATTTATTTATTTATTTATTTTACTGTTACTGCTGGATGAGAAGAAAAGTTAGGTCTGTTTTATAAATAGTTACTGGCATATGAGTGTTGGCAATGTCTACCCATAAAATCCTATCGGCACTGTATGGAGACAATTGAGTAATGTGTAACTGGTGACATTGAGAACAGCTATAGAAAGAATAACTTACAACTCTTTTTCCTTTCCTTATTTAGGTTTGTAGCCAAACCATGTGCCATAGCCCTCCACATTCAGGCCAATGGACCACAGATTGCCCAGCCAAATGCCATTCTGGAAAAGGTCTTCACTGCAATCACAAAGGTATGATTCTCCTTTTCAAGGGTATGAATTGTCATGACCACCATTCTCAGTCTGAAATCATCCAATCCCCCCTTTCTTGGATTTGAGAACTAACTTTTGTCTAGCTTCGTGCTGAAATGTGTGCTCTTGGAAATCATGCAAGCATTGTGATGAGACCAAAATGGGAAGAAGCTGAATAAATGTGGGCATGGTTGAGAGCTGTTTGTTTATACTCAAGTTGATTTCAGAAGCTTGTCTGTGAAGGACAGTGTAAATTCGATAGTGATTAATCTAACTCTGTGCCTCTTTTAATATCATGTGACATGAGCAGTATGTGTAATGGTTGGATGGAACTTTGTGGAGATAAACTGGGTAGAGCTGAGGAATATAATAATGTATATGTCAAAAAAGTACCCATTTGCTTATAGCACTGGTCATATGTTCTAGCAGCTGTGATATGTAGGCAAGTATGAACAAAAAAGGAAATAATTGGAGCTGAGAAGAGTTGCAACATGAAGGAATGATGAACAATGATCAGGAGAGTTATAAGGTATAGAATCACTGTGGAGAAGACAGGGGAGGAATCAGTCACTCTGGTGAGAGGTAAAATCCAAACTAGGAGTGGAAAGAGGAGAGCAGGGGAGGGAGATGAGATAGGGACAAGATTGCCTCCCACCTACTCCCAGCTGATATCTCTCCCTAAGAACAAAAAGGGGAGGAGAAAGACAGAAGTCAGAAACCTTCCATCTAAAGCCATGAGAAACTAAAGCAAGTCACAGCATCCAAATATCTTACTCCTACTCTTACATAAATCTCCTATCTTACTCTGACATGGACACAATGTAGAAAAGGGCCAGCAGTGTATCATTCTATGGGAAGTATTGTATGTTTGTATAATAAATGGTTCCTTCTTTTATTTTCCTGAGAGAATTACTCAGGCTTCTAAGATGTGATTTGACAAAGTTAAGCAAATTTTATTCCTTTTTTGGTATTGTTTTGGCTCACCATTTGCATCATTTGTGGCTTGTCTTAAAGCCATTAATTCAAATATTCAAACATTTTTTGTTTATTTTATGGTCTTTGTTTCTGCCAAGATTCCCTTGGGTTTTCCCCTCTATCCTTTTAAAAATGGTATTTTTCCTGGAAAAGTAGAAGAAAGTGCCAGTTGTTTTTTACATCTCTGGTAGGAAGAAGAGAAGAATGAATGGAATTTTAGGAAAAGCTCTTCTGGTGGTTTTTGATAGCCAGGTTCTAATCTGAAGAGGCACATATCCTGTGATATTGAGAGGAAGAAAATATTAGGAAAAAACTTGCATTTTTCACTTAATATATCACTTTACTGCATGGATATACACCCCCTAACCCCCCCAAAGGAGATTGTAGGAGTTATCAGGTTCATTTCTTAATGTGATTGCAACATATTTTTATTTACCTTATGAACGACTCTAAATGCCTTACAAAATGAGTTTTCTCCCTAAATACTATGCGTTCCTTTAGAAATCCTGCAGTGGACATTTTATTTCCCTTGCCTTATGTTTATTATGTTTATTGGAGAGATTTCCTCTGTAAAGGTAATAAAAGGACTTTGCAGCCAGGTTGATTGCTCTGGAGAATGTTTGCTTCTAGCTAATTTTAATGATCATATTCTCTTAGTTTCTAAGGTGATTCTTTTGGAAGTTTGTACATGATTGAAGCAGAAGCCTCATGTTTTAAATATAAGTGCAGCAAAGGTTGTATCTTTTTCCTTGAATTCTTTGTAGTTGTCCAGTGTTATTTGTAATATGAGAAAATAACAGGTCAGTTGACCAGAATAGAAGTAGCAAGATTTGGAGAGTTTGAACAGTGTCTGTATGTCTTTGAAGGATACTCCAGCATCCTGTCCTTGACCATGGTTCCAAGTCAAGGATATAGATATAGATGTAGATATATATTATCTTTTTGGGATTCTCTGCCATCTTCCTACAGCCTTATTTTTCTAATCAAATTAATTCTTGAGTCACTGAGGGAAGAATATGTATATCAGCTATGAAAACAGATTTTATGATCCAGACAAGTCATATAATAACCCACTTTTGGTATATTAACACTGTATTTTAAAATATATAGATAAAGTTCCTATAATTTTTTTCTGCCTCATTTTCCTCTTATGCCTATCCCTATTCTTTCCTTTTTACTTCCCTTTCCCCTCCCAGTACGGGTTATGATTATTAAAATTAACCTAGGTATTTCTGGTATTAAAGTATCTCTGTAAGTCAGCATTATCCATTTCTTTCTGTGGAAATATTTAAAAAGGAAAAAAAAAAAACCTATGGAGTACAATTAAAAAACACAACACTAAAAAATATACACCCATATACAAAAGAAGGAAAATCTCACAAACTTTATGTTTGAAAAACTAGGAGGTACATATCTCTAGATTTCAAAATATATATAAAAGCTAACAAAAAACTGTTGGTGTTGGGCAGAAGCCAATAGCAACAAGTAAAAAGCATGAATGTGGTTGGAGGGCCCAGTGGGGGTAGATTTCAGGAAAGTGAGACAAAAAGACATCTCCTGAAGCTAACACAAAAGCTCTATCCACTGTTTGCAACACTAGGTACAGGAACTGGTGAGCAAGGCTGGCAGACGTCTTCCTGGACTCAGTTTAATGCAGAGAGATAGCAGAAGTACACAGAAAACCACATGGATGGTGTTTTTTCAGGAGTCAGTCTGCCTTGATGGCAGCTAAGCTGCAAAGGCCCCCTCACTGCTCCCCATACTTCTAGGAGCTAATCAAGAAAATCCAACTCACTCACCGAATAATAGAGAAGGAACACACACAGCATGAAAGACAAGAATAAGAATGGGTAGCAACACTTACTAACAAAAATTGTCACTAGAAAAATGGGGCCACGTGGAAAATAAAAATTGTGATCAGACGTTTTACCATAAATACAAACAATGAGCAATAAATGAGGGAAGACCACAAAAAAGAAATATAATATATAAAACAGGAGTTCATCATCAGGAAGAGATGCAATGTGAGCTGGTAGGTTCAGGAGAAAAGTACTGAAACTTTCACAGAAATAAAGACAAAATTAGAAAGAACACAGGAAACACTAGACACTGCAGAAAACTCAACAAAGAACATGGGAGATATTGCGTTGTCGGAAAAGTCATGACGTATTTTGTCTATGTTTTTCAAAAGTCATTTATTTATATGAAGAACAAAGATCAATCAATGATATATTGCCTGTTTTGTTCGATAATCTTTTGCCATCTTTCAGTGAGCTTCATAATTCCTCATTCATAGAAGAACCTGTCTTTATTTGCGAAAAACTGAACAAGGTGCTGATTTACAGCCTCATCTGAATTGAATGTTATACCACGCAAGGAGTTTTGAAGAGAGCGAAACAAGTGGAAGTCTGACGGCGCAAGGTCAGGCGAGTATGGTGGGTGTGGCAACACATCCTATCCAAGCTCCAATAATTTTTGACGGGTGATCAAACTTGTGTGTGGTCTCATGTTGTCGAGATGGAATACAACTCCTTTACAATTAACAAGCTCTGGACATTTCTGAATGATGAATTCGTTCAAACTGTCCAATTGCTAACAGTACACATTCGAATTGTTTGTTTGGTTCCTTGGTAGGAGCTCGAAAAACACAACACCTTTAAAATCCCACCACACTGAGAGCATAACCTTCCTCTGATGAATGTCTGCTTTCAATGTCGTTTGAGGCGAATCATCACGTTGGGACCAAGACCGTTTGCGCACCACATTGTTGTAAACAATCCACTTCTCATCACCAGTTATTAGTCACTTTAAAAAAGGATGGTTTTCCTCGCGTTTAATGAGCATATTGCAGATGTTTATATGCATGCACTGTCAAATGAACTTTTTTGAGTTCATGTGGAACCCAAATATCGAGCTTGCTTACGTATCCCAGCTTCTTCAGGTGGTGGTGAACACTTCAGTGATGGATGTTCAATGTTTCTGCGATCTCTCATGTCATGTAATGTGGGTTTGACTCGATCAATGCCTTTATTTTGTCGTCATCAACCTCGGTGGACCTTTCTGACTGAGGAGCATCGTTGAGATCAAAATCACCAGCACGGAATTTTGTGAACCATCGTTGGCACTGACATTCTTGTAGAGCATCGTCACCATAAACTTTATGTAACTTTTCACAAGCTTAATGTGCGTTCTTCCCTTTATGAAAGTAAAACAGTAAAATATGGCAAAAATGCATAGTTTGGTCTTCCATCTTCAATTGGTTGTAAAATCTCCAAAACTCAACCAAATCGCTCAATATCTTTTTAGAATAAAGCTAAAACTGTCAGCTGTCAAATGACATAGCAATAACATAGATGCGAATGACTCTAGTAGTTCAAAAAATGAACCAGTGCCATCTGTTGCAAACATGCGTCATGACTTTTCCAACAACCCAATAGAAATAATAAAACTGAATTAAATGAAACAAAAAAAAGCTAAAAATAGGCAGATAAACTGAGCAGATACAACATCTGCATAATTGAAATCCCTTAAAGAAAAGCCAAATAGAATAAATATTGAAAGCTATAACTCAAGAAAAGTTTCCTAAAGTTTGTTTTAATGTTAATGCAAATGTAGTAAAAATTGACCCAAGATGGTTAACACCAAGACTTATGTTATTAAAATTGTTAGACTCGAAAAATAAAAGAATAATTCTTTGATTAACCAAGCAAGAAAATCAAATCACTTATTTAGGGGAAAATATCAGTATGACTTTAATCTTCTCTGTAGCAACACTAGAAACAACAGCATTTTCAGTATTTTCAAGGAAAATGTGAACTAAGAATTTTATATTTAGATAAATTGTTTTTTACTGTGTAAAGGCTAAAGACAAACAGATTTGAACATGCAAATATGTGGGAACTGGTTCCCATGAGTCCTTTTTGAAGAAACTATTGTAATCATTCATTTCAACTGACCAAGGGATTACTGGGAATGTTAGCAAGTTTTTTTTGGTTTTTTTTTTTAAGCTGAGCCATCCTGCTATC